TTTGCCAAGGAACACTGGCCCTGAGCTAACATCCCTGCCCATCTTCTTCCACTTTATGTGGGACACCGCCACAGCATGGCCTGACAAGCGGTGCGTCGGTGTGCGCCCGGGATCCGAACCCAGGCCGCCAGCAGTGGAGTGCGTGCACTTAACCGCTACACCACGGGGCTGGCCCTAAACTCATTATATTTTGTCTTGAATTTTCTTTTTCTATTCTCCTGAGCCAAGGTGAGCCTTATTTGTGAAAACAGGCAATACTTGCATATTCATTGTGAGCTCTGGTGAGGCCACCAGAATGCCACATGCTAGTTATACTGTGTGTGTGCACACCACATGTAACACACATCTCTATCCGTCTTCAGTAGTGGACTCTGGGCCAGGGGCTAGGCCTTTGAAGAATGTCTAGGGGCTTAAGAATTTCATGCTCTTCACATCTTCGTCTTTTGGGAGAGACAGTAGGCAGAGTTTTCCCAAATTCCCCATACCCTTATACTCTGGAAGAAAGCCCTTGTGCTTGAAAGGGGCCTGCTCTATACCTTTCATTTCCCTGGCACGAATGGAGCCCGATGAGAGGAGAGAGAACTTGGTCTATAACCCTCTGCAGCCTGGCACTGTTGTGATCATACTTTTAATTTTTACTCCTCACTGATGCTCTACTTTAGCTGCAGGAAAACTCAATGGAAACTCAGAGAGGGTCTGTCCCTTGCTCTTAGAAAGTAGTAAGAGATGAGGATGTGAATCACTGGGGGCCAGAGGGCAGACTGTGGGCTCCAAGCTGGCCTCCAGTGATTTTCTCACCCCTGGTATTCTCCTCCTTGTGTAGTACCAGCCCAACTGAACAGTGCTGATCTGTGTAATAACAGGATATTGCAGAAATGATGGAGTATGACTTTTCAGGCTAGATCTTAAAAGATATTGCAACTTCTGCCTTTTCTCTTGGATCACTAGCTCTGGGAGAAGCCAGGTGCCATGTCATGATGACCCTCAAGCAACCTTATGAAGGAAGCCTGTGTTGTGGGAGCTGAGGGCTCCTGCCAACAGCCAGCACCCACTTGCCAGCCTTGTGAATAAGCCATCTTGGAAGTGGATCCTCCAGCCCACTATGTCCTCAAATGACAGCAACTCCATGAACGACCGTGAGCCAGAACCACCCAGTTAAGTCACTCCCACATTCTTGACCCATAGAACCTGAGATAATGCATACTATTTGTTACTGTTTTAAGCTACTAAGTTTTGGAGTTTTTACCTAGCAATAGGCAACTAATATGGTAGATGTATGTTTTGTATGTTTTGTCACCGAAATAGCTCTAGATTTGCAAGTCATTACTTCAGAATTTGGTTAGTTCCTCTGAAGCACTATGCTTACCATGATCCCTGTGCTTCTTATCTGGTGTGCACACCAGAAAATGGGCTTCTCCCCAAGGGTAAATAACTGAGAGAAGTGATAAAGAACTTAATAATATTTTCTCTATAGAATAAACTATTATAACAAACACAGAGAAAGGCAACATTTTAATTGCTACTTTCATTTCGCTTTTTGAAAAAAAATCTAAGCTTAATCATGGGTTTACTTTGCTCCAAGGCACATCTTCAATTTCTCTTTGTTTTTTTGTTTGGAAGATTAGCCCTGAGCTAACATCTGTTGCCAATCTTCTTTTTTTTGCTGAGGAAGACTGGCCCTGGGCTAACATCCATGCCCATCTTCCTCCACTTTATATGGGATGCCGCCACAGCATGGCTTGACAAGCGGTGCATGGGTGCGCGCCCGGAATCCAAACCCCGGGGCCACCATGGTGGAGCGCGTGCACTTAACCGCTCCACCACCAAGCCGGCCCCTCAATTTCTCTTTTCTAAAAAAAATTAAGTTTTATTTAAATATAATACACATACAGAAGAGTGCGTAAATCAAGTGAACATCTTGATGAACTATTACAAAGTGAACACACCCACGTAACCACCACCCAGACCAAAGAAACCAAACATTATCAGCCTTCTAGAAGCCCATCTAGCAGTCTCATCACTACTCTCTCCGCCTTCCCTAAAAGTAACCAGCATCCTGACTTCTAGCATCATTTATTAATGTTAAATTTCATATAAATGGAATCATACAATATGTATTCTTTTGTGTCTGGTTTCTTTTGCTCAATTTACTTGCATTTTTGACTTAGGATGATAAACATCTTGCCTAATTGCCATTAGTATATGTTTCACCTGTTATTTTGGATAAACTTTAATGATAGCCAGACTGTCAACAAGTTCACGCTAGAGTGAAGACACATATATGTATTTAAAAGGAGAAAAAGCCTTCCAGTAATTTATTGGAATTTCACTGAATCTGTGCCTTTTGGTTATCAGAAAGTAGTCGAACTTCTCAGGAATCCAGGCTCTGTCATTTTTCAAGCCGTGTGCCTCTGGATTGTTGCCTCACTGTCCAAATGCTTTTGGGAGAAGTAAGTGACATGTAAAGGCACTCTGTACATTGTGAAAGAAAAAAAGATGCTACACAATTTCAGGTGTTGTTTTGATGTTGAGGTTCATTCATCTTGGCAGCCTCAGATGATGATGATTCTTTATTTATTTATTTTTTTTGTAAGATCAGCCCTCAGCTAACATCCATGCTAATCCTCCTCTTTTTTTGCTGAGGAAGACTGGCTCTGAGCTAACATCTATTGCCAATCCTCCTCCATTTTTTTTTTCCCCCCCAAAGCCCCAGTAGATAGTTGTATGTCATAGTCGCACATCCTTCTAGTTGCTGTATGCCGCCTCAGCATGGCCAGAGAAGTGGTGCATCGGTGCGTGCCCGGGGTTCCGAACCCCGGCTGCCAGTAGCGGGGCGCGCGCACTTAACCGCTAAGCCACCGGGCCGGCCCTGATTCTTTATTCTTCAGGACGATTGATCAGAGCTCAGAGACTTGGATGAAAAGTCCCTCAGCCAAGGAGGATAATATATATTTTTGGGGAGGAGGAGGCAGAAAGGCAGGCAATGCTGGGCACTGAGATTTAGAAGAGTAGCTATGTGTTCTTGGTTCTTGTAGGATCCATCTGGGGTTGCTTCCCGCAGAAGCTAGAACTTCCATAGTTAGGAAACAGGGTTTCCAGAGTATTCCTAGTGAGGGGAGCTAGTTTGGAGTGAGTATGGTAATTCTCTTCAACAAGCAAGAGAGAAGCTCATCATTCTTGTTCGGCTGCTACTAGCAATCGTTACAGAAAAGGTGAAGAAAACAAGGGCTATTACCCAACGGACATTACAGTCTCCCAGGGGAGGCACTTATGAAATAATTAGCGAGCAAGATAAACTCACCGTCCCATTAAACCTCATGGAGTAAGGGAATGCCCTGGGGGTAGAGAGTGGGGCGGGATCATTCCAGGCTTGGGTAACCTCTGGGAGAAGGGATGCTTGGAAGGGCCTTCGGTAGGTGTGAGAGGTCAGTAATCTCAGGGCTAGAGGTGACCATGTTCTCACCCTAAAAAAAAAGAGAATAAGATGACTTAAAAAACCCCCAACAACCCAGGCTCCAAGGCAGCCACCGAATCCCTCTATGTCCCCCAGTGCACCACACAGAAAGAGGGTCCAGACTTTCCTACAAAAGACAACCCTACTTCCCGACTCCCACACCCCCCCTTCTCCACAGGAGGGTGGCGAAGGATTTATAACCCACCTCTTTCTTCCAGTTGCCATGGAGACCAACCTCAGGCCTTTTATTCCTTCTGGTACCGGGAACATTTCTCCAACGCAGGCAGAATGGAGGGGGCTTAGCCCAAACACGCCAGTGGCAGTGCCAGGGGAGGGGGCGGTGGTCAAAAATAGCGCGGAGGGGCTGGCGGCCTTGACGGCAGCGGAGGACCAGGGCGTCAAAGGCTAAGGTCACCCGCTGTTCAAGCCCATCCGTCTGTCAAAGACTGGCGGCCAGACGCTGCGAGGGCACTGCTGGCCTGGACGAGGGCGCGAGTTGGGGGAGGACCGGTCGCAGCAGCGGCACGGCACTCGAGGGCGCGCGGCGGCGTCCCAGGAGAGTTCTGGGACTCGGGGGGCCGACCTGTCCATCCGGGCAGGCAGGTGCAGTGGGAGGAGTGGCGCGGGCCCCTCCACCCACGCGTCCATTGGGCTGCACCGCCGTCACTCTCCCCTCAGCACCACCGCCTTCTCTTTCTCGGCCGAGCCAGGATCCCCTCCCCCCACTCTCCGCCCCGCCCCGCCCTGGGGGCCTCTCATTGGACCTAGGCGCGGTCGCTCCATCTCGATTCAGGGAGCTGATTGGACACGAGGCCTTCGGGCCGCCCCCAGCCTGCTTGGATTGGCTTGCTGCGCGTTGGCGCAACGGAAGAGGCGGCCGGCCGAGGGTGCGCTTCTGCTCCGGCTGGACGGCCGCGGAGGAAGCGACGAGGGATCCGGCGCTGGGGGCCTGGCTCGGGCGGCAGCGGTGGCTGCTGCGGATGGGAGCCGGACGGCTCGGCGCGCCCATGGAGT